AAAATAAATACATTGAAAAAAAAAAAAATGAAAAAAAAAAAAGGGACGAAACAAACAGAGAAAAGGCCAAGCAGCTTCTGTGCCTAGCGACTCAGGTCACGCCGCGGTGTGGGAGTGAAAAGTTTACGGGAAGTCTGGCAGAATCATGCGTCCGTTGTGGGGTTATGTGTTGGCGAACATGACCGGGCACGCACTCCAGAAAGAGAAGGGGGGAAAGAAAAGTCAAGGATGACTTGATAAAATCGTCATTTCAATTTGTATCGGTCCCCAAAAAAACTGCATCCGGCAGAAGAAGCGAGGCCGAAAACCCGAGGGCCATAAGCATTTCCGTGCATGTCCCGGAGAACACCATGGAGCCAATCAGGTACTGCCTCCAGTGAAGCAGGCCACCATGATCACGCACACGAGCGGGGAGGGCCCGATAGGGCAGGAACTGGGCCGTTTGCCCCCGCCATGAACATCATTACGATGGGGGGGGGGCACAAAGGGCAGGAAGTGGCCTCTATGTTCCCAAAGCTGGGGGGCGCGCAGCCCCACCAAGATCATGACTACGCAGTCGCGTGGGGAGGCCCACGTAGGGCAAGAAGTGGGTAGTTTGTTCCCAAGCCATAATATTACGCACACACATGGGGAGGGCCAGATAGGGTGAGAATTGGCTTTCCAGGTCCGGAACACCAGGGGCATGCTTCGCGCACCCCCCACCACGATTGCGCTTGTACGCAGGGGGGGCCAGACGCCCTCCGTCTCTGCCCCTCTACTAAAAATCTTCCATTAAATTGATTGAATACTTGCTTGAGCAAACTTTTATCTACAGAATGAGAAGATTCAGAATTTTGTTTTCATCATGAAGGAAAGGTGAATCCAATAGGCAAAAAAAAAAAAAAAGTCGTATACATAATATTATAGACGTATGTACATAGTACACATTTGTATTTTGTTTGAATACTTGAAGAATAGCTTTTTTTTTTTTTTACTGAAACAAAGGTCGCCCGCCACATGGTGAGTAAGTGTACAATGTGGAACTCACGTCGATCCAGCCTTTGGACCCACATCTCCGTGCAGCCAAAAGTGGCAGGCCGTATGGGGCGACATCGGATAATGTGGCATGCACAAACGCCCACCGGGTCAAGTACAGGAAGACACGCGGACACATCCATGCTTTCGGACAGATGGCGCGCCGCAGTGGCCAGAAGCTTACAACGTGGCACCCACCCCAGCATGGGTTCGGGCACAGTTCTCCTTTGAGCCGAAAGTCGAGTACCACATCGGGCAAAAGGGGCTTCAGACGAAAGCAGCAAAACTGAAAAAAAAAAAAAGGAAAAAAAAATAAAGAAAAAAAAAGAAGCAAGCAGCTCATCGGCCCCTATACAAGGGCGGCGGCTCTCTTCAGACGCGGATGACCGTCGTTCAAACATTTGAGGAGGGGTGGGAAGCCAGAAGGTGCGGGAAACCTTTGGTACAAAGGGCCATATCTCAACAGATCTTGACAACAAGGCCACTCTACTGCGTACAACACCCCGTTCCTTTTCTAAGTTGTCTGCAAAGGGTTCTATTCCCCGAGCGAAAGAAATTGCGATGAAGAGACCCCYAGGGCGTCGGTGCTCCGCCGCAGGAGGGACAACTCCGAACTTATGCTTTCGGGGCCAGACCGGGCTGGCCCTATCGACAGCCTTGTGTCATCCGACGAGGCATACGTCGCCGCTGCAAGCATAGATTCTGACTTAGGGGCGTTCAGTCATAATCCCACGCACGGTAGCTTTGCACCGCTGGCTTTTCAGCCAAGCACAATTGCCAATTGTGCGAACCAACGGTTCCTCTCGTACTGGGTTGCATTACCATTGCAACGGCGGTGCATCAGTAGGGTGAAACTAACCTGTCTCACAAAGGTCTAAGCCCAGCTCACGTTCCCTGTTGGTGGGTGAACAATCCAACACTTGGTGAATTCGGCTTCACAATGATAGGAAGAGCCGACATCGAAGGATCAAAAAGCAACGTCGCTATGAACGCTTGGCTGCCACAAGTCAGTTATCCCTGTGGTAACTTTTCTGACACCTCTAGCTTCAAGTCCTGAAACGCTAAAGGATCGATAGGCCATGCTCTCACAGTTTGTATTCGTACTTGAAATCAAAATCAAATGACCTTTTGCCCTTTTGCTCCACACGAGATTTCTATTCTCGTTGAGCTCATCTTAGGACACCTGCGTTATCTTCTAACAGATGTGCCGCCCCAGTCCCCACCTGACAATGTCTTTCCCTTGGATCGGACAGGCCACGAGGGCCTGCACCTTGGATCGAGAAGCAGGGGCGAAGCCCCGGCTCCACCTCACGAAATAAGTAAAATAACGTTTAAAAGTAATGGTATTTCACTTGCGCTGAAGGCTCCCACTTATTCTACACTTCTCAAGTCATTTCACAGAGTCGAACTAGAGTCAAGCTAAACAGGGTCTTCTTTCCCCGCCGATTCTTCCAAGCCCRTTCCCTTGGCTGTGGTTTCGCAGGATGGTAGATAGGGACAGTGGGAATCTCGTYAATCCATTCATGCGCGTCACTAATAAGATGACGAGGCATTTGGCTACCTTAGGAGAGTCATAGTTACTCCCGCCGTTTACCCGCGCTTGGTTGAATCTCTTCACTTTGACATTCAGAGCACTGGGCAGAAATCACGTTGCGTCAACGTCCGTTGGGACCATCGCAATGCTTTGTTTTAATTAAAGAGTAGGATTCCCCTTGTCCGCACCAGTTCTGAGTYGGCAGTTTGATGCTTAGGGAGAGTCCCACGGCCCCACCCGAAGGTGGGGACATAAGACATTCTATGCCCGTTGGCACACTGGCGCGCGGGCTCCGCCCTCGCCGCGAGAGCARCTCGGGCAGACCACCGGCAGCCAACGACATCGAGGCGCAGACCCCTAGGCCCAGCCCTCAGAGCCAATCCTTTTCCCAAGGTTACGGATCCATATTGCCGGCTTCCCTTACCTACATTCTTCCTTTGAGCAGAGGTTGCTCACCTAGGAGACCTGATGCGGTTATGAGTACGGCCGGGCGTGAGAGGTACCCGCAGCTCCAGATTTTCAAGGGCCGTCGGGGGCGTGCTGGACACCACAGGTTGCACGGTGCTTTGCCGGGTGCAACACCCTATCTCCGGTTGATCYGATTCCAGGGTGGGCGAGCCGTCAAGAAGGAAAGAGAACCCTCCCCACGACCCCCGCAGGTATCTCCGGAGCTGCTTACGTTACCGTCCACCTCCACAACCTGGTTCGGGAATGTTAACCCGACCCCCTTTCGATGTGCGGTGCGAAGTGCGCCCTTGATACAAGGTTTCCACATCTCTTAGGGTCGACTGACCCATGTCCAAGGGCTGTTCACATGGAACCCTTCTCCACTTCGGTCTTCAAAGTTCTCATTTGAATATTTGCTACTACCACCAAGATCTGCACCGGGACCCGCTTCACCTAGGCTCACGCTCGAGGCTTCGCAGCAGGCATCGTGCCCTCCTCGTCGCGGCGTCAGAATCGCCGCGACGGCYGAGCATAGGTCGCGCGCTTCAGCGTCATCCATTTTCAGGGCTGATTGATTCAGCAGGTGAGTTGTTACCACCGTCCTGCTTTCTGTATCAATCAACGCCCTTTGTGGTGTCTGGGTTAGCGCGTTGTTTGGCACCGTAGCTCGACTTTCGGTTCATCCCGCATCGCCAGTTCTGCTTACCAAAAATGGCCCACTTGGAGCTTTCATTGATCCTCGGGGTTCGCTTAAGCAACCCCGAAATCTTANTGGAGCTTTCATTGATCCTCGGGGTTCGCTTAAGCAACCCCGAAATCTTACCTATTTAAAGTTTGAGAATAGGTCGAGGGTGTTTCACCCCCGAGACCTCTAATCATTCGCTTTACCCGATAAAACTGTTCAAGAGCTCCAGCTATCCTGAGGGAAACTTCGAAGGGAACCAGGTACTAGACGGTTCGATTAGTCTTTCGCCCCTATACCCAAGTCCGACGAACGATTTGCACGTCAGTATCGCTGCGAGCCTCCACCAGAGTTTCCTCTGGCCTCGCCCTGCTTAGGCATAGTTCACCATCTTTCGGGTCCCAACGGGCATGCTCACACTCAAACCTCTCATAGCAATCGTGGTTGGCGGACAGTGCACCCGTAGAGGGTTCCAGCCACTCAGGTTTCTTCCGCCTCGTGGGCTAATCACCCACCGGCTCGCATGCAGGTTGAACTCCTCGGTCCGTGTTTCAAGACGGACAGGATAGAGGAATTTCGCCAGCATCCCGAACACGCAGGAACTCGAACGGGCCGCCGAAAGAGGCGCGTGCTCAAGGTCCTCGACTGCCGTGACGGCCACCCGTGGGGGGTTTCAATCGCTCCCCACCGCAATGCCGGTCACAGCAGCCCATGCTGGCAGGCACCCCAYGTCCAACAAGGGGGGCGACAACACAGTCGCCGTCCACCCCTGGCCAGACGGGAGCGCACGACTTCCCCTCCATCCGCTTCTCGCTCGGCAATTTCAAGCACCCTTTAACTCTCTTTTCAAAGTTCTTTTCATCCTTCCCTCGCAGTACTTCTTCGCTATCGGTCCCTCACACATATTTAGCCTCGGATGCGACTTACCACCCAATTCGGGCTGCATTCCCAAGCAACCCGACTCTTGGACAACACCTCGTTGCGCAGCAGGGTCCGGCAGTCGACAGGGCTGTCACCCTTTTCGGCGTCCCCTTCCAGAGAACCTACACACGGCCCGCTGCAGAGGTTGCCTCTCAAGACTACAATTCAGGGAGCAGATGAGCCGCCGGATTTTCAGTCTGGGCTATTCCCGGTTCGCTCGCCGCTACCAAGGGAATCCTCGTTGGTTTCTCTTCCTCCACTTAGTTATATGCTTAAAGTGGGCGGGTGCTACCGCCCAACCTGAGATCAAACGGCAAGGCCCGATGTACCTCCACAGCTCTAGGCCGACACCCCCAACCGCCAAACTCAAGCTGATGGGAGCGAATGGAAGGCGGCGACCACACAAACCGGAGGGACGACCTTACGTGYCGTTTTCAGGGAAACGAAGACCACCACCCACAAACGGGTGCWGGAGGGCAACAACAGGGCGGAGCGAAATGCACCACTCTGGGCTGCGGCCCCCACAAGCCCGCTCGGAATGCTCTCCAATTCCCTTCCACTTTAGGCTATCGACGCTCTCCAAGTGGGAAGTGAGGGAAGCCACGATCACGGACCCCACCTCTCTCTGAAACAGAAGGTGCTGAGGTCGTGAGGAATCCAATGATGCTCAGGCGGGCGTGCCCTCGGCAAAAGCCTTGGGCGCCACGTGCGTTCAAGGTATCRATGGCTCACGGATTTCTGCAATTCACATTCAGTATCGCATTTCGCTGCGCTCTTCATCGTTGCGAGGGCCAAGATATTCGTTTGCCGAGAGTTCTACAATATGGTGCCGTTCGGACAGGACGATCCCTCGACCAGAACAGAAGGGGGCCGTCAACCCGCACAGCGACAAATCAGAGCAGGTACATCAAGGAGAAATTGCAAAGCCGTTGCCACCAGCTGCTGCCACGGGCTTGCCCGACCCCCCTGTTCAGGGGGCCAAGCAGGGCACCGGGGAGCAGCGGGGCAACGAGGGTGCAAGCGCTGTCTCCTCCCCCCCCCCCCCCCCCCCCCAACCCGACACCACCCCGTTCACGACCAAAACCCTCCCCCAACGGCCCTCCACCCCGAGATTCAGACCACCTCGAATGTGTCGAGGACGACGATCTGTCCGGAAAGGAGAACCCCGTTGGGAAGGAAGGCAGGACGAAACGGGGAGGGGCCGAGGACCCCGCAACACACCCCGCCCCTAGCCTGTACCACGACCCTCGATCCCCAAACAAGCCACAAGCTCCGCACGAAGCCGAGGTTGAGGTCGGGATGAAAAGGAGGTCTGGACATAGCTGAGACGGGAAGGAGCGGGGGTACGCAGGCCGAGGACAGCCGCCACCACCTGACATCCCGCCCCTGACCCTCCTGTAGCGCTGTCCGTGCCCAGACAAACCGCCATCCCGACCAGAAGTCGAGAGTGGGGCTGGGCCGAGGTAACAACCTGCGGAGGCGAGACGGGATGAAGGGGGAGCAACGCCACAAGGCCCGGGACCCCGCCCACTCCCCCCACCCTCGACCTACACCACGCACCCCTATGCGCCGGGCCAGCCGCCAGCTGGGCACTAAGCCCAAGACGGTGCTGAAATGGAAGAGAAAAGCGGATGCAGGGAGGATGGGGGCAAAGGGCGGCGGAAGGGCAAGCAAGCCAGCGTCCCACACCCCGAAGATCGGCCATTCACGTGTCAATGATCCTATGCAGGTTCACCTACGGAAACCTTGTTACGACTTCTCCTTCCTCTTAATGATAAGGTTCAATGAACTTCTCACAGCACCCCCAGCGGCAAACTGCCCAGATCACCGCAATCCAAACACTTCACCGGACCATTCAATCGGTAGGAGCGACGGGCGGTGTGTACAAAGGGCAGGGACGTAATCAGCGCGAGCTGATGACTCGCGCTTACTAGGCATTCCTCG